ATCTGAGTGAGAAGTCTCTGTCTGCTGCTCCGACGATTCTCCGGCTATAATTCCCATAAAGACACTTAGTTAGAAGCTGATAACTACTCTTAAGGTAAAATGACTATTTTACCCTTTGGCCAAAGTCAAATCCTGGTCAAAGTCAACTTCCAATTGACCTGACTTGCCGAGTTGGGCCGCCAACTCGCCGAGTCCCTATTCCTTCATTTGACCCCCTCCCGACTCCACCCGACGAGTTTAGCTAAGACTCGACGAGTTCTCTTTCTATAATATCATCAAATGAACCTTCATCCGACTCGCTGAGTTGTATGAACAACTCGTCGAGTCCATCTTCAAAGGGTTGGGAGATTGCCTTGGACTCGCCGAGTCTGTTCATACACCCGTCGAGTCCGATGATTCCCAGGTCTAATGCTAAGTCTAATATGTTGAGTCACTCCCCTGGACCCTTCCAGTACCCTTCTAATACTCAACTGGGTTCCTTGAACCTCAACAAACGGGGGACTCAAGCCCTGGACTCGCCGAGTTCCAAGAACAACTCGACGAGTCGGCACTATCCAAGTCTTATATCTTGATTTCTGATGTACAACACTCATCCAAAAGACAGATCTGGGATTCTAAGATCAATCTAGCACCTAAATTTATGAACTTTACGTGTATGCATGGGAGTATAAGCTTAATGGACCCAAAAAATGAGGTCTAAAGGTGCATGTGGCTCTCAAAGGCTACAAAGTTGGCCACTTTAGACCATGTAGCCCCCCTAAGGACCATGGATTTGGAATCTTAACCCCCAAACATGCTTGCACTCATGATTGGTCACTAAAAAAATGGTTCCTAAAATCCCTAATTCACTCCAAAAAGGGATCTAGAACATGAGTGAACAAGGTATAAGCTTTATACCTCTAAGGAAATGTAGATGTTACACAAACTCGAAATCTCCTGGTTTCCTCTTGGCTTCTCAAAACGATTAGGGTTTCAGTATGAGGTGTTATGGGAGCATAAGGGACGATGGAAGCTGTATTAAGACGTTTAAATAAGGTGCAATCCCTTGGATTTATGGTATTGTCCAAACAGCGCCTACTCGTCGAGTTGGTTTGCCGACTCGTCGAGTAGGTCACCCGTGTCTAAAGTCGATTCTACTCGACGAGTTGGACCTTCAACTCGTCGAGTCCCAAGCCAAGATGTTATAATTACTTGAATGAAAATACGTACCAGGAACCAGGTGCTACAGAGATTTGGAAAAGTTTTTGGCCTGGCTCAATTCTTTGAGGAGATCTTCCAATTCTAGGAAAGTCTAACATCATGATCATGAAAACATGTGTTCATGAGGATTGATCTTTCATAAAATGAAATAAATCACTTTGAGTTTACATGATCTTACCTAAGTATGAAGCTTGGAGAGATCTTCTTGTATACACCCAAACTCTTGAAAATTTGGAGGTGAAGAGGAGAGAAAGTTTAGATGGTCTTTGAGAGGAAATCTTGGAGTGTTAGTAATTGAATGTAAAGGGATGAGTGGGGATCCTTATGGCCAAGAGGTAGAGAGAGGAAGGGGAGAAGAGGAGTATGTGTAGGGTTTGACCCTAGTGATGTGAAGTTTATGGAGATACTAGGCGAATCCCCGCGCGTTGCACGATTATTTAATTATTTAATTAAATTAATAACTTTTAACAAACTTTAATTTATTATTTATATATGTTAAACCAATGTTAGTAGAAAAATAAAATATATAGTTACCCTGTTCGTTTTATGAACAACCATGGTTGTATGTCATTGGTTATTTCTACTATAAGTTGATAATTTTATAAACCGTTTTAAGCTATGTAAATTTTATATCAAACGTATTAAGTTGTGTAGCTTGTATAAAAATGCATGCTAATATCTAATATAACGAATAACAAATAGTATGGAAAAAAAACTAAAACTTTTAATTATATTTAACCTCTACAACATCTACTATAAGATTTATATCAACAAACTTATTAAACCCTTATAAATCATACAAAAATATATAGAGATCAACATACATTAGGTATACATAAACATTATTATCCCCTAAAACAAATCGTGTTGTAAAAACCATTGATGCGATAAAACTCATTTTCTCGACACTTCATATTTAAAATCACAAATCTCTTCAAACACATGATTTTTTCTATCACAACCTACTTGTATACTACTAATATAGTTATAATGTGTATAGATAAGAGGAAAATAAAAAGACATTATATATTAATAACCATATGTTAAAATCTCTTGAATGTGTAAATATTTAAATAATAACATGCATAAGTCTAATCTTTATATACAATTATAAAAGCTCAAAATAGTAATAAAAATATGCTATAAATGTGATGTTATATATATATATATATATATATATATATATATATATATATATATATATATATATATACACACACATAAACATTTTAGTCATCAATGACTTAGATAACCCATCTCCACGAAGTCTTTCTTACCTATTTTGCTTCTTGTCTTGATCTTTTTGGAAAAGAGAAAGAAATCCATCTTATCTTATTTTCCAAACATAATGAAATAGTATTCAGTTATTGTGCTTGGATTTGTTCATTATCGGTTAGTTGTCATATAATGAAGAAAATCATCTTTCGCTTACTTTTTTTTTCATATATAAGACAATATTACCTGTAAAAGAAAAATCATGTTAAAACAATAAAACAAATCTATGTTTTTGTTTGAAAGAAGAGCATGCATAATATAAAAATAGACCTTGAAAACAAATTTGTTATCTTCAAATAAATCATTTTGTTTGAAGCTTCCAATCTACCATATAATCACCCAAAAAATTATAAATCCTACCAAAATAATCTACCAATGTGAACTATATATATACCAAGATTAATCAATTAGTGTCATAAGTACCATTAAGTATAAAACTCTTAAATGGTAATTAAAAATCATTATTACAAAGAAATATGAAAAGATATAAGTTTCAAATCAATGTAGTGCTTAGAAAAATGCATCCATTATAAGATACATATATATATATATATATATATATATATATATATATATATATATATATATATGATATATGATATGATGTTGGATTTTGCATGTTTACATGGTGGATTACTTTGAGGTGGCATGTATTAGTTAGCTAATCTTTTTTTTTTTTTTTTTTTTTTTTTTTTTTTTTTTTTAACTGAGAATTTGAGGAGTAGAAAGAGATGAAATTAAATGTTGGGCTTAGTTTTGGTTATACTCGAAATTACAAGGCCCATTATAAAAGTTTTCAGTCCATTGGGCCCATATGTGGGTTTACGGCCCAAAAATGATAAAGAAATGACTTTACAACCCAATAATATTTAAGAAAGTTGTTTACAGCCCAATAAGG